GTAGATTTATCAATAATTTACGAAAATACGACTATATTTATTTACTGTTTGCAAGAACACATTGGCAAAATGTTTATCAATATTTATTGCTAAGTATGATGCATAGAATAATCAAAGATTCATTGCCTACCTATCTTAATGATAAGAGGTATTAAAACATTATCAATGCATATTCATCATACTGCAATTATTACACGGTATCATTTTATCATTTTTAATGCAGTAATTCTGTATAACACATTACCCTTAGAGGTAAAAAACACAGTATCCACCTATGCCTTTAAATCCAGATTAAAGCAACATATACTAGATGGCCAGCAAACAATTTTTTAGTAGCATATTATTTTTAAATAAATAAAAATTTCCTAGGTTTATTCGGTCATGTTTTTATTTTAGCACAGCACTACATATGTTTCGGAAACATTTTTTCCATCTTCAGGTGCAGTCAAAATTTAATAAAACTTGGGGACGATTACAAACAGTTTAAAAACAATTTTTAAAGAATTTTAAAATAACACAAACCCCATCTTTCTGTTTCAGCCTTCACAAGCTGAAACATGTGCAAATAAAAACGTTTATAATTATTCTAACTTTAAGCGTAATGACTGCTAAAAATTAATCTGCACAAATCACAAGTGCAATTTGCATTGTGCTGAAGATGAATAATACTTCCATTTTAAACTTTTTTTTTTGTTTAATAAAGTTCCTAGGTTTATGTAAAGAAGTTTTTATATTGATATATTTATATTTCTGTTACCTAAAAATAATAAAAATAGAGAAAAGATCCTATTTGGCATTTAACATGATAAAAATTACATAAAAACCGGATGGAGTCCCTGAGTACTTTATATAACAAAATATAACATAGTAGTTTAAGGGTTAAGAAGTCAGGTCAGTTCAACGTGTTTCTGTCCATATATTTTTTATTGTTTACTCTTGTCATTATTTTCATATCATTTAAGTTTTTTGCATTTGACTTGGAAAAAAAATATTTCTATATTTTTGCCTAGTTAAATAGATACATTTCTTTGTAGCTACTTTAATTATTGTAATGATGTAGATAAAATTCAGTAAATATAGGTTAAGGTTTTTAATTATTTCACCTCATGTCCTAGACTTGTTGATGAATTAGTGCAGAAGGATGTGGGATATACACCAGATCCTTAAACCTAAACATAAAATGGGCTGTGAGCAATAGCTCCAGTGTAGTTCAAATCGAACTTACTGGGATTCCCATACCAGCAAAATAAATTACCAGAAACAATATCACTGGAAGAAAAAAAAAATACATCTACCTTTTATAAAGCTTTAAAAAATTTCAAAATACAATATACTAAACCTTCCAACATTCCAACACATTTGTCTGATCCCAATGATATAAATAGTCATTTTATATCAGTTTTTCAAAATGACGAAACTGCATGCTCAAGCAATATTGATTACTATCAACATAACAAACATAATTCAGGAAACACTTTTTCTTTTAGAATGACAGATACATCAACCATTTTAAAAATAATTCAAAAAATCAAAAGCAATGCTAAAGGAGCAGATGGTATTACTTTACAAATGCTTAAACTATGTTTTCCAGTTATAGGTGACTACATCACTCATACTATTAACTGTTGTCTTGAGATAGGATTCATTCCTAATTCTTGGAAAGAAGCTTTAGTGTCGCCACTTTCTAAAGTATCCAATCCTGAATCATGCAATGATCTACGTCCTATCAGCTTATTATGTATACTTTCAAAAATATTAGAAAAAGTTGTCTATCTTCAGTTAAATGATTACGTAAACAGTTCCAAATTGATAGTTGGTGATCAATCCGGATTCAGAAGTGGTCATAGTACAGTAACAGCGCTAACAAGAGTTTGTGATGACATTATCGGTTCATTTGATAAAAATATGTCAACTGTATTAGTTCTTTTAGATTTTAGTAAAGCTTTTGATACAATTAACCACAAACTTCTTATATCTAAATGCAAATATCTTGGATTTGATAATATGGCTCTTAATTTCTTCAAATGCTACCTTACAGACCGAAAACAGAGTCGTTATTGGTGGTAAATGTTCCAAATTATTTGCTCTGGCGTCCCACATGGCTCTGTGCTAGGACCCCTTCTCTTCCTATTATACACGTTTGATATGACTAAATATTTAGAATTTTGCAAAAAACAGTTATTTGCAGACGACACTCAATTATATTTTCATTTCAATCCTTCCGAATATGAAATAGCTAATGTTCGCATAAATCAAGATTTGCATAAAATAAGCGAATATGTGAAAGGGCATGGTTTGAAATTAAATGCTAAAAAATCAAAATCTTTGTTGTTTTCTCCTAAAATATATAAGAATATGCTTAAATCGGACATGCAGATTAGGGTAAATGGTGAACAAATAAAATTTTCTCCTTGTGAACAGAACTTGGGTTTGTATTTAGATGAAAATTTAAAATTTGTTGAACATGTTTCTCAAGTGTCAAAAAATTGTTATTTTCGTCTAAGACTCTTATATGCAAGTAAACCATATTTAACATGAAAAAAACTCTATGTGAAAGCTTGGTAATCTCTAAAATAACATACTGCATCTCTGTATACTATCCTTGTCTCGACAGGGCTACTGCAAACCGTTTACAAAAAATACAAAATTCGTGTTGTCAGCTTGTTTGTAACAAAAGAAAATATGACCACATATCACCTTACATTATTTCATTAAAATGGTTGAAAATGGATTCTTTGTTCAAATTTCTTTTCTTATTATTTTTAAGCAATTTATTAAAAGCTAATTCACCATTATATTTAAGAGAACGGATTAGGTATAGGATTGACGCACATGCCTTAAATTTGCGAAATCGCCATACTATCGCCATGCCACGACATAGAACTGCCATGTTTCAACGGTCATTCAGCTATAATGTCGCTAAAGTATACAATTCACTAAATACACACTTAAAATCATATTTGAGTACTAGTTCATTTAAAATAATGTTAAAATCATATTTTCTTGGTAGCCAAGCAAATGAAAATATTTAATTCATATTCTATTTTATTTATTTTATTTAATTCTTGTTCTTAATTTAAATTTGAATTCATCCATAGACATTCAGCATAATGTAGAGTAGGTTAGGTTTAAGTTAGTTTTAGGATTTGTGATATGGTTAAGTTGAATGGCCATTTGGCTAGACTACGCCATTTATACTTTGTAAATGTTGTTTTGCTGGTATAATAAAGACGTTTATTATTATTATTATTATTATTATTAAACATGCTCATCTATACATGTCATCCTAAGATGGATCAAATGTCATGCTACATGAAAAGGTAATTCACTAGCCAAGAAGGCAGCCAACCAAATACTTTTTACCAGGGCCTTCTAAGCCAACTAAATACTTTTTACCTGGGCCTTCTACTGGACTGTTAACATCAGTAGTGACAAACCTAATTAAAAAAAAATTCCTCCTGAAATTTAAGGAAAGTTGGGATGAAACAAGCTGCAGACTTTCCAGGGACTCTTTAAGTTATCTTGACAACTCTACAGCAAACAAATACTTGACTAGACAGAATCTACACCTGATCACAGGCATTTTGACTGGTCATTCCAAGTATGGAAACATCTCCATATCATGGAGCTGTCACAATCTGCACTCTACTGGGGAGTGCGAACAAGAAGATGAGACCATCAAGCACATCTTCTACAATTGCCCAACATCATCATTTATTAGAAGATTGTATGTTCACCGAGAATTTGCTAACACCAGCTGATATAAGAAAAGCACATCTTGGAGACGTTGTCAACTACATTAAATTTGGAGGCTGGCTCAAGAGCTAGGAGATGCCTATCTACTTAAAAGGTTGCACAATGGGCCTAGTGAAGCCTAAGTGCCTTCACTTTTCACATGTTTCAGATACAGATAGTGCACAGTTTATAGACTTTGTTACTGTTTGCCAACTTTAGAACTGGCACATGATTAGAATACAATTGAGGACCTTGATGCAAGAAGAGGGCAGCACCATTTTTGGTAAAATTTTAATTAAACAACAGGAAAAACTTAAAGTCTGTGTCACATAAAATTTTGGTTATTTTATGTACTCTATACATGTAAAAAATTAAGCTAAATCGATTGGTGTGAGAAACAGGCAGCTGCAATAAGAAATGAAATAAAATATTAAACTTTTTAAAATTGAATTTGTAACTGTTTGTTGTAAGAAGGGTGTAAGTCTGGCCTGTCCCCTTCTTGCCTAAGAAAATATAATGTGTTTTGTTTATTTTTCAATATTATTAAACAAGTTTATCCAAAACCAAGTTTTTTACTCTATAAGTGCAAAGAATCAACATTGGTACAATTGTTTTCCATTTTTTTTTTCTTTCAAATAAAGATAGGTTATATTACCAAGAACGAAAATGTAAGTTACATGTAAATGTCACCCTTTGATTAAAATGTTTTATTTTTGTTAAAACAAGCAGCAATTTTTATTTCCCAAAAGTTAACAAAAATGGAGAGGCCCTCTTCTTGCAGCAAGATCCTCAATTGTGAATGGTAAAGTAGGAAATCCTAACTAAGCTTTAGAATAGAAACTGATGTAATAAATGTACAAATAGGTACCAATGAGGACAGTTCTTCAAAATTATAAATCCATAATCCAAAGTAAGTTATATTGTTGCAGTATCATTAAAGTGCAACAATGAAGATAAGATCACTATAGTTTTAGTGATCATATTTAGAAAATATTTTTAGACGAATTGTATTTGCAGTAGTGATGATTTGGTTAACTGAAGAGCAAAAAAGCAAATATTTAATAGTGCATTGTCGCGTCACCATAAAAATTGTATTTTTAAATGGCTTAAATGAAATATTAATATATTTTAATTTAATCGGACAAAATCGGAACTGTCCCACCTAAATCGGGAGGGATGGTCACTTTTACAACATATTATTTTAGAAAATTTTAGAACACTCATCATCTACCTACATTTAAAAGTTACATAAATTATTTACTTACTTCATTTTTAATTGTAATAGATATTTTAAACCTTGTATAAGGATTATGTTCATCTGATACACAAGTAAACTCAGCATTAGGAAATAGCTCATTTAATAGCATTAACGGACCTTTAACCGCAGAGTCCTTATCATTTGGGCCCAATTTTTCCGATTTTTTATTAATAACTTGGTCAGAAGTGAAGTCCATTTTAGTGCCAGATAAGGGACTTGTGGAAATAAACGTGTCATTTGTAGGAAATTGTATAAACGATTTTAAGGCTTCTGTAGCAGCTTCAGATTTGGCAGCCTTCTTTGAATTCCCGCTTCCGAAGTATTTTTCACCGTCTACCTCAACACATACTTTAAATTTTGGGTTGTGGGAAGGACCGCTTTGCTCAATAATATCATATTTTAACCCGATTCTAAGCTCATTTAGAACTGATATTGGGTTTTTTTCAGTCAAATTTATACTTTTCTGTTCGTTTTTACGTTTTTTAGATTTCTGTGGCGATTCTTCTTCTAACGGTCGTTTAAAAGTTTCACCATTTTTAAGATTGGTACCGATATTGTTGTCGGTTATGTTTTCTTCTTTAACTTCATTTGCCATTTTTATCGAGGCTCTTATTTTCCGTTGCTTTTGTTTTTAGAAAATCTCAGATAAAACTTACAAAACCACAAATCGAAAATGGATGCCCTTCTAATGCATATTGCCAACATGATAAAACATAACGAGAACGGAACTGCAGTAAATTTTTAGTTATTTTTTTGTGAAGGCTTTAAGATTTTTTGGTTTGCGCCTTTGCGGTCAGTTTCCTGTTTAAAAAATTACGTAAAGCAAAAAAAAATTAAAAGTGTCTTGGGATCAGCGAACTGTATATTTTAAATATACAGTTCCCGTTAGGATCTGAATAGAGTTTTTGTGAACCGTCATGTTAAAATTAATGGGATAAATGGAGAATGATTTTTTAAAAATGTATTAGGACAGATGTGTCCGATGTGGATAAACAAACGCTCGAAATGTAAAAATTGCATCGGATGTGGATATTCAAACGTAGCACATTTTTGTAGTTGAAGGTTATTTTTAGGAAAGTACATCTTTTATTATATTCGGCGCTTCGTCCGAATAGATTACTTTATAATAACTTAGTAGTACCGGTTTTCGGTGCTAGATGGCACAACGTTCAAAGACAAAAACTTCTTTATCGGTTAAGTATGCTTACCTACTTTACCGATCCCTTTCACACGTCATAACGTTTTTTGTGCCAAGGTGGTAAAATTTTATAATTAGGCATTCCAACGACCTGTCAAACAATAGGTGCCAGTGGGAAATTCTTGTAAATCTAAGGGGGGTAGCGACATAGTCTTGCAACTTGGACGCTATTTTTATTCAAAGTAGTAGTCGCCAAGCCTGCCAATTTATGAAGAAATGTATAGGTGGGTTTTTTAAATATTATTTTTATTGTGTTTGACATAAAATATTTAAATGTAATCCATTATTCATGATTTTACGTAAAGTAGATAGAATACACCATATGTCGCCACCCTTAGATATACCAAACCTGCCCACTGGTAATTAGGCATTCCAACGACCTGTCAAACAATAGGTGCCAGTGGGAAATTCTTGTATATTTAAGGGGGTAGCGACATAGTCTTGCAACTTGGACGCTATTTTTATTCGAAGTAGTACTCGCCAAGCCTGCCAATTTATGAAGAAATGTATAGGTGGGTTTTTTAAATATTATTTTTATTGTGTTTGACATAAAATATTTAAATGTAATCCATTATTCATGATTTTACGTAAAGTAGATAGAATACACCATATGTCGCCACCCTTAGATATACCAAACCTGCCCACTGGTAATTCATTTGTTTGGAATGCCTAATTAGTTGTATTTAATAATATTTATTTTTAAGGTAAAATGGGAGAACATAAGAAGAGGAAAAAGTCGTCTTCTATTTCTCGCTCACCCTTGCATAGAAGGCCGCTAACTGCACTGGAAAATATGTTGATTAATAATGATATTGAGGTAATACGACTTAAAAGAGTCCCGCGGCCCAACTAGTGGCCCGGCGTCCTCAAACTCAGTTCATATAGTGTTGGGGCAAAAGTTCATTAATCACGGAAAAAGAAGTGTTATCTGGCTAACCGTCCGCGGCCCAACTTGTGGCCCGGCGTCCTCAAACTCAGTTCATATATAGTGTTGGGGCAAAAGTTCATTAATCACGGAAAAAGAAGTGTTCTGGCTAAAGTCCTTGAACCACAAAGCCGTACATCCCCAGTAAGTTGCTACATACTATATATCCGTCCGCGGCCCAACTTGTGGCCCGGCGTCCTCAAACTCAATTCGTAGTGTTGTGGCAAAAGTTCATCAACCACGGAAAAAAAAGAGCTCTGGCTAAAGTCGAACCACAAAGCCGTACATCCTCGGTAAGTTGCTACAGACCGCATATGTCCGTCCGCGGCCCAACTTGTGGCCCGGCGTCCTCAAACTCAATTCGTAGTGTTGTGGCAAAAGTTCATCAACCACGGAAAAAGAGAGTTCTGGCTAAAGTCCTTGAACTACAAAGCCGCATTTCCTAGAGCTAGACACTGAGACTAGCTCGTCTAGGAGACGACCTGGATATTGAACAAAAATGGTGTTTAATCCTTACATTGGAAAAAAGTTTGTCTTTAATTCTAAAAGATTAGGCAAGGAAAAAATAAATATGTGTCCTCTATTAAAATCCCCAGAAATATATCAAAAATATTTAACTGACATATAAAGTCAATAAAATTAAGTCTGGGAGTGTCCAGTATTGGTAAGGTAATAAATATATTCTTGTCATCTAACAATGAGACATAAAAAATAGTCTGGGAAAACCCTTCGCAGATTTTTCTATAAAATATCAAATGATTCTTTGGTAACAGCTCTGCATATAAAAATGAAATTGATAAATTCCTGTATTTACTTATATATGTTAAGTTTAAGTATTTGATTATCGAAACTTGATCACACAGACTCATTTTTAATTATATTTAAACACGATAATTCAATTAAACTGATTTTATTGTCAGAATACAACCGGCGATTGCCGCTTATGGCCAACTCATCCTCGTGCTTACTCAGCATGTCTCGACCAAAAAATTCACAGCGCTCGTTGGTCAGTGGCGCGGCGCGCAAATTTAAAAATATTAATTAAGAGCTAACATTCGGCCAACCTGACCTATTTGAGCGCCCTCGCCTCAAACAAATAATTTTAAACAAGAACAAAAAATATGAAAAAGAATAAAAACAAATATTAAAACATAACCACTAAAAATATATAGGATAAAATATTTATGAATTAAACATAGTCTTTAAATTTCACTGCTCTTGATTTATTTCTTTGGGGTCGTTTGTCTTGATTCTCTTCGGCATCATGTAGCTTTAGGGCATTCTTCGTCTCAGATAAATGGGCATCGGTGTTGGGTTTTCTATCTCTGTCAAAATAATTAAGTGTTTCTGCTCTGTAAGTGCGGGAAGGTAAATTTTTTTTATAGGATCCCTTATATTTAGGTTGCAGTGTTGTACTTTTTATTGTGGGGACTGGAGGTGTTCTAATTAGTACAATTTTTCTGAAATCATATGTGTGACGAATATATTTCTTTTTATCACATTGTTTTTTATATTTATCTTGGTTTCTCAACATATTTGTTTCAATTTTCTTATTTTTCCTTTCCACTTCCTTGGGTGACTGTTCGTCTTCTCTTTTTCGTTTTTTAGCACTGAGTTTCGTTTTATTTCTGTTCTTTCTGCCTTTCAGTTTCATTTTAGAACCCTCTTCATCATCTTTAGAATCCCTTGAAAAAATCGATTTGTGCAATTTCTTTGCTTTCCTGATATCTCCTTCCTTATTATTAGCTTTTAAATCAAATTTATCTTTATTCTTGTCTAACATAGCCTTATGCTCACTAGCATTGTAAATTTTTAAAATTTGCTTTTTCTCTTTCTCGGTAAATGACGCATCTTGTTTTACAAAACTATGAATTATATTCTGTTGCACAACTTTAGCATTTGTTTTTAAAATGGTTTTAATATTTATATCTTTAAATGGTACTTCATTAGCATAACCCAATACAAATTGCTCCCCAGTCTTTAGCAATGCTATATGTGGTAATTCACAATAACTTCTACCAATGATTAAGTCAGTTTCTTGACTATTATCAGGAACAATCAATACATCAACTTTATCGGCTACAACATTATCAATACTAATTTTAACTACTACTTTACCAAAGGAGTGTAAAGCTGGATTTGAATTTTCTCCGAAAACATAAAGTGGCTGTACCTCATCCATTTTATTTAAAGCAAACTTTTTAACAACACTCTCTTTAATTGTACAAACGGAACTTCCTGTATCAATAAATCCGCAACGTACAATCGAATCATTTAATAAAATGTGTTTATAAAATTTATGCTTATTCAGAGTATTAGTTTGAACTTGAATATTTTCTCTGACATAAACACTGGCACCATATGATTCTATATTTAAACTATTTTCTCTTTCTGGGCTATTTTCTAAAACATTTACAGTATTTTTACTTGTATTAGCATTGTTTCTTGGTAGATAAAAATTTTGAGGAGGTTTATAACTTGATGAACTTCTATCATTTTTGTTGGACAATTTTGTAACATATGTCCCTCCCTTTTACATCCAAAACAAATAGATTGAATACGCTTACATTGTTCGGAAGTATGATTATAAAGACCGCATTTGTAACATTTTCTTTGTTTTGTATCATATGAATTAGAATCCATTCATGTATTATAAGATTGTTTTTTATAAAGGTTGTTTTCAAAAACATTATTTGTTTCATATGAACGTGTTGCTCTCATTCTATGAGCACTCAGCAAATCTTTGAGAAGACTATCAGAATCATAATGATTTTTAACCGTTAAACTCATTGCCAGGTCTTTAGAAAAAATACCAGCTAAAACTTCTTCTTTTATTTCGTCAAATTGTAAACCTAGCTTAGTACATAAATCTAATTTTTCATGAAAATATGACATGATGGATTCAGTTTTTCCCTGTTTTCTAGCACGCATTCTATCCCATTTTTCTGATAAACTTTCGGCCTGTTTAAAAGTTTTATTAAATACAATTTTAAAATCATCACAAGAATGAATAAATGAGCTTTTACTATTAAACCAATATACAGCTGGACCTATCAAATGAGCCCTTGCAGTTTCGAGTGTATAATTTTCAGGCCACCTATTTAATCTAGCGCTTGTTTCTACATTAGTAAGCCACTGAGACGCTCGAGGCACGTCTTTATCTCCATCAAAGTAACCTATTACCTGCGATACATCAGGTAATAATACATGAAAAGCGCTTTGTTCATTTGCCTGACTGGCTGAATTTTGAATATCACTAGACGGGGGGGTAATTCTCTGAAGCATTTGCATCATTACATCATCTCTGCGTTTATTCTCACTTATCATCAAATCCATCATGCGAGTTAAATAAAAATCATTGTTATTACCTTGTGTATTTCCTGAGCAAACATGAGAAAAATCGTTACCCTCAAGGCTGTTATCACCTGAACCATTTTTTTCGGACATCTTGTTTCTTGGGTTTCACACAGCACACAGTAATAAAAGAAAAATATTTGTCAAAAGTTCTGAAAGTACCGAAGTTTTTATTTTAAGAGTTATTTTCACTCAGTTAATCATTTA